GCCTTATGCTGTAGGAACCCTGTCTTGAAGCTCCGTTTTAAGGGCAAGGGTTGAAATGGGATTCACTGTTAAACTGACCATTACAGATATTTGCAGGATGACCGTCTGCAACATCATTTCTACTCATCACTTTTACTGAGGATTAGCAGCTCTATTCTAATTTCTAAGCATTTACCAGTTTAGACAACCACTACAATTTATCCACTGAAAGGATTCAAAAGCATGTTTAAAGTTGAGGCAAAGTCAATAATTAGACTGTAAATGCTTGAACAATGAACAAGATTCATCCCTGTAAGGGGAAATTAAAAGGATTTATTTAGTGAATCAAAGAAGCCTCTTCGATATGCAATGAACTTCCCTTTTCCACAGGAACCACCTGTCAGCAGATCCTCTTTCGTTTGAGACTCACCTTCAGGGTGTTATTAGTATGTTCTTTGATTATGAGTGCCTAATAATCTTTGTGGAACACATGGGTAGATCTCACTTTATTTTGATTTTTATTATCTCCACAAAACATAAATCATATATTTCTTTCAGTCGTCTAAAAGGCAGCTGAGCTCTGAGAGGGAAAATCCAGAAGTGAAGCGGCAGAAATTAGACGAGCAGCAGGAGGAAGAGGAGGAGGAGGAAGAGAGACTCGCTGAGGAAAAGCTCAAACAGCTGCAGGAATTTGCCAAAAAAAGCATGAAAGACGACCAAAAAGACACCCAGTCTTCCCATTCCACATCTCCAGCAAAGGCGTGTGTGAAGAGCAGCTGGCAGCAGACGGGAAACCTCATGTTTTACACGGCTGCGGGGGTGAAAGCCAGTGAAAAGGTGGGGAAAGATTTCCTCCTATTTGGATCAGAGCACAATGTTTATGGTTTCGCTGGTATAATGCATAACTAGACATGGATAAGGGTTTTTTTTTCCTCTGCTTTCAGATTGCTGGGTTTGATATTGATGGGTGTATTATCACCACTAAGTCTGGAAAAGTTTTTCCTACAGCGCCTGATGACTGGAAGTAGGTCCACTCTCTCCCAGCGTAGTTTTTTGCATCATGGTTCTATGATGATTGCTCTTTTTGATTTCCAGAATGTGCAGGTCCATCTTCTCATATCTATAGTAGGATGCAGAAGTGTGTAGCTTCTCTGTTATGCTACGTTCACACCAGACGCAGCAGGCGCAGCAGAAGCAGCGGGTTTACATGCAAAGTCAATGGTTGACGCGCGTCAAGGTGCAGCAGAAGGTCCCGCAGCGCGTTTTGAGCAGCAGGAGCAGCTGAAGTAGCTGCTTTTTAAGCATCTGACCCACGCAACGCGTCGCAAACGCGCTGCTGCTCGAGATGGAAAAATTGAACTTTTGCTGCTCGACGCGCCGCATCAACCAATCAGAGAAACTGATCTGGGAACTGGCAGGGAGAAAGACACATAGCTGATGATCAGAGCGCTAAGATCACTCCTCTGTAACAGTTTATTAACGCCTAAATTAACTTAAAATGC